GGCAGGCCTTACTCCGCTCCGCCGTGGGGCACCGAGGTTGCGGGTGCGGGGGGGCTGGTGTCCGGGTTAGGCCGACTCGGAGGGCGGTGTCTGTTAGGGAGCTCCGGTACCGCCTTAGTCTGTGGCGACCGTTGCGAAATCTAATGACAGCCTTTATTCAACTGCTTTGTCTCTCTTTAAGACTTCAGTTAAGTCTTTTTTTTTGTTTTTTTTTGCTAAACGTGCCCCTCTGAGCAGGGCGGGCTGTTGTTGGCTGCAGCACAGCTCAGCCGTTGAGGCGGGCTGCAGTGCTGGGCCTAAACAGTGTGTGTCTCCCACTCATGAATGCAGCGGCCCACTGAGGTTAAAGATGCTTTCCTCCGGAGGCTCTTACTTCTGTAAGTCTTTTGATACTACTCACAGCACTTTAGAAATGTGAGGCACCCCGGCTTAATGTTAAAAACATGGGAGCTAGTCTGTAGCAGCAGAAGCTCCCATGTTACTCTAGTATAACTACACTTATGGGTGTCATTTGAAAAATACTTAACTTAGGAAAAAAAAAAGCCTTCTAAACTCACTATGTGAACAAGGCTTTATATACTCAAATAGCTGTGCTTTAAAGCCAAATAAACTTTACATAGACACCTAGTTCTCTGTAGTGTTACGTTAGAAGTGTATCCACTCATAGTGAATTGAAATATGAAGCTCTCTTAACTGAGAGTTTCAAGTGGGCTGTGTTTGTTTTGCTTGCAGTACTGAACAACTTTTGTTTGGAACTCTGTGGCATGCTGTCTGCTTCATGTTGAGACCTCCTTTATTATCATGCCTGTATTACCACTTTCAAACTTTCTCGCATTAGTGCTAGCCTGGTAACGATGTTTTAATACTGTCTACCATCTGTAGAGCTATCTGTGGCTTGTTCCAGACCCTTAATCCTGGGTAGAGTTTGAAGACTGCCCTTAATTGTTGCTACCTTAAGATCTCCATTCTAGACAGATGTAGTTGTGACTTACCTCAAATCAAAGGCTTAAGAGATCCAGTAGTTCTGCGTATTATGGTGCTCTCTTGCAGACTGTGGTATTTTCATTGCTGTCTTTTTTCTTGCAGAAATGCAGGTGGCTTTTCCTTCAAAGAAACAATGCGTCAGCAAAACTGGAGATCTAGAGTTCAACAAAGATCCCAATTTTAACTTTAGCTCAAACATTCCAGTTGATGGTGTCTTCAAAGCTACAAACCAAGGGTAAATGAAAGTAAAATACTGATGGATTTATGACATGGCAAATGTCCTAAAGATGGCTTAGCATTTTGCAGGTTTTGTCAGGCTAACAGGCTTGGTAATCCACAAGAATGCAGAGGTCTTCTGGTAATTGTATTTTACCCGTCTTTTAAGGTTGCCTAAATCTGCCAAGAAAGTGGAACCGCTTTCAAAGAAGACAGCTACAAGAGGGTATGTTTCCTCAAACTGCTATTAGTTGCCCTCTTGCAGTAATGTTCCCTGTTGGAGAGTTGTGATGAGCTCTCACCCACGTACAGGTTTCTTGCCAAGTTTGCTGATTAAAGCTCTTGGTCAGAAACAGGACCAGATGCTTCAAAAAAGGGCATATTTGTGGAAGTAAAAGAGAAGGTGTGTAATACTGATATTTTTGCTCCTAAGTCTTTGATGTTTGGCTCTACAGACCTCTCAACAGATACAAACTAGAAGCAGAGCTAAAGACTAAGAATCAGCTGTTAGAAACAGCTAAACAACAGCTACACTCCAGACTAACAGGAGCACAGGTAAGGAAAGGGGGAATAAATGAATAATTGAGTGATTCTTATATTCTGATCCCTACAGGGTCAGATCAAAGCTCATTTTCCTGTCTCCATCAGAAGTTATTAGAGTTTGGGTGGGATGGGGTTTTTTTTCCTCTGACACCTGTGATATCTGCTAGAACCTGGAAATCAGCAGAGCTGCAGATCTGTTTGGTTGGTAAGGCATCCAGATCACTGTTAAATGGTCGTCAGAGCTCTAATTCCATTTTAAACTCATTGTAGGAGAACATTTCAAGTTCACAACTGTACACTTGCATGAAATGTTTTTAAAACAGCCTTGATATTTCCAGATGCTTCCTAGCTACATCAAGAGAAACTGTAAATAATCACTTGCCACTGATGGTTTGAGGTCTATTAATTCTTTTTCTTACATAGATCCTAACATATGGTAGATAAGCTGTTCAATTTCCATGTTCCTTTTTCCTTGTTCTCTCCTAGCTTTGTTAACCCGTTACGTAGTGTGGTGTGAAAGTGCATACATTATTGAAGATGTGGGTTCAGGAATGTGTATGGTCTCATTTTATTAATGAAGAACGTTCTACTTGGATTTTGGTCACTGCTGTGCACTAAGTTTGAGGGACAGTGACCTCATTCTCTTCTGAGTGTTTAACGCAGAGTATAAAAGTTTGTTTCTTCATGTGCTATTGTGTCATATTGTCGCCTAATCCTTTAGTGTCTTTGTACTCTTCTGCAAGTTTTTTTCCTGTCTGCTCAGCACTGGTGAGGCCAAACTTGGAGTAATGTGTCTGGATCTGGGCTCCTGGTACAAGAGAGAGATGGACATACTGGAGAGAGTCCAGCAAAGGGCCACTAAGATGATTAAAGGACTGGAGGAAAGGCTGAGCTGGGACCATTCAGTGGATTCAGTTTCAAACAGATTTGGCTTTCTTGAATCAAGCTGAGATTCAGAATTGGCACCTTATTATTCACCACCTCTTACAGATCACTCTAGGACACACTTAGCACAATTTCTGTCATGTGCAAGAGGCCCTATTGGTAACCTTTAGTTGTAAAACTGTTGTCCCAAATGTGGGTTCTTCCACCCGATGTGCAGAGAGCCGAAAAACCCACAGAGCCGAGATATTTGCTTTTATTCCAAATCTGCGCAGAGTTGGGTGCTCACTTTATTTCCTAGTTCTCAATCAGTTCCTAATCTGTGAGATGATCTCTCCTCTTATCTCACAGCTTGATTTCTTTAAGAGCCCTTGAGACCTTCTATGAAATGTTCAAAAAGCTTCTGACACTATCAGCTGGATCACCCTAATCCACATGCTTATTGATTCTCTTGGAGAATTGCATTAGACTTGTGAGGTTGATCAGTTTATCCAATTGCCTGGTAATATCTGAACTGTGCAAGGTATAATGCTGTGGCTTAAAGATTCTAAGATGCCCTTTTCTTCCTGATGTTTATATGGTCTTCTATGCATCAAACTGTTGAGTTATCTTTTCTTGTGCTTCCTCTCATATATGTAAATATGCTAGGGTTACCTAAAAGGAATTTACCTAGGATCAAATTTTTCTAGCAGTTGCTATGACATGTGGATGGGATAAGTGTATTAATCCTGTCAAGAAGCAGGAGTAGGGGTCTGCAACAGACTAACTTGCTGTGGTGGCAGAGACAGAAGGGCGAGATCTGATTCTTGGTGTTAGCGGAGCACTTATTAAGCCATTAGCATCACACTCAGTATTACTGACTAATGAGAAGAAAATCTTCTTGGTTCACTCACAACCTGTGTTAATGACAGGGCACTATAAAGGAGTTAAAGGAGGAGAATGAAGGCCTGGTACAAGAAGTTGAGAAGCTCAAGAAATTTCAGGAGACTTGCATGGTGATTCTGGAAAGCAGAAGCATTGATCCTGGTAAGGACTATGCACTTCTTACACTGTTCAGATACTCATTCTTCAGAACACTTTCCCTGTTGTGACTGTTCATAAGGCATTTGGACTCTGCTTCTTTGCTAAGCAAACACTGCTGTAACTCCAGGGGATTTTTTTTTTTTTCTAGCCTGAGAGAAAAAGCTGCTCCCTGTAGTAGGCCCTGTCCTGGATAAACTTTAAAAATAATTTAGTCTTTCTTGCTGTAGAAGTTTACTTTGAAAAGCTGTTAGTTCTTACAAGCAAACTTATCTGTAGATTAGAGGTTCACTAATGCATCTCATAAATTAGTTACAGGCAGCAACATCTTGGAGGAGGAAGAAAATACACAAGAATGCCAGAAGCAGACAATGGTAAGAAAATTTTGAAATAGTGATAGGAGTTAAGTGGGCTTTGAGGGGTCTGTGTGCTACTGCCCTCTTCTACTGATGTTGTGGAAACAGCTGCTGAGACTTGCATTTATTTGCATTATATTAAACTGTTTTCCTTTTGGGTCTTCAGCTGTTAACTGAAAAGCTCATAGAAGAATTGAGGCTATTTAATCAAACAGCTGTAAAAGAAAAGGAGATGCTTCAGGTAAGACTGTGACTTTGTTTTAGACTCATCCAGGTAATGAGCACCTGCTGCTGAGTGAGATTCTGAAGGTTATTTTGCTCCTCCCAATCCTGCTCTATTCTCCAAATGAACTAGACTTTGAAAGCCCACAGTATTCATCTTTTGTTATAAATATATGTGCATTAAGGAAACTCCCCTTCTAAATAGAAGGCTTAAAGCAAAGTTTATGATGGAGAAATGTTAATTCTCATCTCAGCCATCTCAAGTTGAGTTATATACAACTGAACCTGAAACAACATAGAAGGTGAAAGTGATATTAATGACCGATAGCTTTCAAGTTAGATGAACCAGTTCCCAAGTAAAGATCGATGTTAGTACTGGAGATGGAGCTGTCTGTACTTAGACCAGCTCCTCTCAAGAGAGAGTTTTCAAGACTGTGGTGCAGATGGTTGTAGGCACCACTGGCAGAGCACTGTGCCTGGCTGTTACACTGGAATTTGGAACACTTGGTCGAACTTGGAGGCTGTTGCAGACCAGTCACTTCAGGTAGTCTCTCTGGGAGCCAAGCAGTACACAAGCAGCTTCAACAATATTGTCTGTATACTGATCAAAATAGTCATTAGATTACCGTTCTACAATTCTTTGTAAGAAGCTTAAGAGCTAATTAATGAAATCACCATTATGTCTGTGATCAAAGCTTAGGAAGTCTTATAAATTGCCATTTTCTTCAAGTAACCAAGGTAAAAGACATGTCAATCAGGCTAGACTAACTTTGGTTTAGCAGGTAAGACCCTGCTGAAGAGTTCAAATGCTTTACTTAGAGCTGCTTTAGAACTTGTCTTTGCTATACAGTACTTTGGCATTAGTAAAACATCATCTATGCTGACTTCTATACACAGGCAGCGATGGCCAAGTGGAAGTCGGCAGAAAAAGGGAGATGCCAGTCCCTAGAGAAGCATTCCTCCTTTCAATCAGAAATTAAGGAATGTTCTGCAATACTCGATGAGTTGGAGCTGCTCCTGGCTATGTGAGGCACGAGGATGGACTGTAGTGTCTTGGGGGGGG